TTGCAAACCGCACCCCACCATGCAATTTTGGTCTTTTTTTACTGGAAAATCCTAACCTAGGTGGAAACTTCAAATGTACGTATCTTTGTGTTCGGATATCCGATCGTGGTGATTTTTTTTTATTCCGCATAACTTTTCGAGATCTTGCAAGCCGCAAATCGGCGAAGGCGGTTTGGTCTCGCCTTTGTCCCGAAAAAATTTCGTTTGCTACCCCGAACGAGCTTTTTTCCGATTTCATCAAACTTTGGAGAACCATAACTTTGTGCTCCAAAATCCAAACGACATGAAATTTTGGAGGCAGTGGGGGTGCGGTTTGCAACCAAACCGCCCCGGGGCCATGCGATTTGCAAAACCGCACTCTACCTGTGTGGTTTTCATCAAAAAACGCTCCCCCTGGTGGTGGTTTTTGCCTAAACCGCTGGTCGGGTGGCGGTTTTTGGAAATGGTGCTATTTTTGGAAATTTTCCGGGTTGGGTGCTATTTTTGGAATTTTTCCAAGTTGGGTGATATTTTTGGAAAAAAAAAATTAACAGTGCTATTTCTGGAAAAATCTCAAGAAAAAATTAGACATGTCTCCACAAACATAAAGAAGATTAATTGTTTAGAATATTAAATATACCGGGAAAATTAATTATATGGGTGTGGACGGGTACCCATGGGGCGGCTTTACCTAAACCCAAACCCAACCCAATGCGGTAAATACTAAATAGTGAACATGTTTAAACCCAAACCCGGACCAAAACCCATCAACACGGGTTTTACACGCGTTGACCGGTTTGGGTCGGGTAGGGTACTCATGGGTTCGGGTTTTGTTGCCATCCCTTCATAACATATGTCACGAATGGGTTTGGCGCCCCTAAAGGGAAAGAAGAATGCTACTCTGGACATATCATGGTGTAATTTATAAAGCCTGCACCCACAGATGAGCATCATCCTCCGAGGGTGGGATAGCCCCCGCATAGGAGATCGTTGGTTCGGTCGGCAACGACATCCACCCAGTCACATCCACCTTAGGTGAGGATGCCGACCACTCTCATCTCGACGAGGGCACCACCTGAGCCAATGCAATCATCTCATCCTGTGATTTCACCTTAGCCTCCTCTGAAGGCATCATCCCTCCCCTCGAAGACCCCCATCTCGAAGTTGTCTGCCGACAAGCCATCAATTAACATTGACATTCAGCGAAGAATAAAAGGGGAACTAAGTCATCCTACCCCTTGCGTACAATTTAGCTAAGGTACTCTAATGACACTGGAGAGAGGGGGTAGAACGACATACCTGGTGAAATCTAACATTTAGCTTCACGACACCACCTAAGTAACTCCCTCCTCACTGCTGCCCACCACTTGAGAGCTTCCCAAAAAACTAAAAAGAGGGAGTGTATTGTAGGATGAAATCAATAAGTAAGGGATGGAGCCTTATATATATAAGCAAACTGAAGGTTGAGGCAAAAAATCAAGGAGGGAATATTCCCTCACGTGAATCAGTGCATCGCAGTCCCCGATTAGTCCCTATTCAAAGTCCTAAAGGGGCTCGGACCCACTTTGCTTCCGGTCCACAACCCTCACCACCCGCGGCACTCACTACCCACGATGTACCGGTTCATTGCCTACGCTCATACCTCCTCCCTTACGTGGTACCCTCGTTACATTATGCCCTACCACGAGGTACGAGCGCCTAGACGTGGCACGGGGGCACATCACACTTGCGAGTGGACGCTTGAGGCGACGACACATCCTTCGACACCGCCGCACATCCTCTATTGCCCCCCTAGACGATCGCTATGAAAGGCTTCTGTCATCTTCCGGCAAAGGTAAACATAAAAAGGTCTGAGCGAGCCCATTTAGAGAGCTTGCTACTATTAGTAGTTGGTACTACCGCTAGCCTGAACCATCTTCTCCTACACTAAATCTTTAGTTTCATTCTTCCCCTCAACTCACCACTCAATACTAACTAGAGCATCGAAGAATATCGCCTAACAGATCTTTTACAAAAAGTGGTGGGAGTCAGTATCACAACCCCAACATCAATAGTGACTAATAACTGGACTACCAATTCAAGAGCCTTTTAAGCTACAATATTGACAACTCTAAATAGTCTAAGCGTACAATAAACTGATAATACAGAATACACTAACAATTAAAGTAAGATAAGGATACAATCACTATGACCAACTTCATTTGCAAAATGAAGATATGGTTGCAAAACAGCCAACTTTGGACAAAGGAAAAAGACCAGAACAACGAATAGAAGTGACGACAAGTAATTAGGGATGGCAATGGGTCGGGTCGGGGACGGATAGTGCATATCTATTACCCTACTCAAAGTAGTTCGGGTTTTACCCATACCCATACCCATAACCACATAAGAAACGGGTAAAAAATCCAAATCGTGCCCATACTCGTTCGGGTTTCGGGCTTCTGCAGGCATCTTCCACGGTTTCGTCCCCAAACCGGCTCCCGGACATGAAGGTTCCTGTCCTGGTGTGCTTCAGACGTAGTGCTCCTGAGCTCCATCACTCTATCTATCTTTCTATGACGACGGAAGAGCGAGAGAAAGGAGGTGGGTGGTTTGGGTGTTGCTGACCTGGTGGTGCTATGGCGACGACGATGAACAAAACGAAGGGCTGGGCTTTGAGGGCCTTTAACTTAAATACGCGGACGACCGATGATTTCCTCAGATCGCCGTCGAGATCCCAACTTCACCGGCGGTGGCGGCCGGATTCGAAACACCTATTTAAGTTTCTCTCACTCCGACATAAAGAGCTTTTACCAAGCTTTAATGTTGAGAGTAAATTACTTTTTATTTATTTTATGGTAAAATTGAGTTTGACATTAAAATAGATTAAATTTTATTTTATTTATTATTTTTTAATTGTCACGTCACTAAGTTAACGGTCAACTTTGAGAGTTGACTGTCACATCAGCCAAACTTAACGGAGTTGGACGGAGAGTGACCAAACGTGAACGGTTTTAGTAAACTGAAGTACCACCAATGGATTTAAATATTTCGAGTGACCCAACTTGAACGTTTTTTGTAATCTCAGTGACCAACCATGCAATTAACCCTATTTATATGCTAAACACAAAATATGTTAGAGAAAAATATTGATTATTTCTAGACAAAATACATATGCATGTGTATCATCGGGCGAGTTCGGGTTGGATAGTGAGAAAATCATGCCCACCCATTACCCGCAATATTCGGGTTCGGGTTTTACCCGTACCCACTAAAAGTTCTTCGGGTTCGGGTTTTACCCTACCCGATTAGGTTGGTCGGGCGGATATCTACGATTACGGATATTTTTGCCATCCGTACAAGTAATTAGGACTGGAAGTTTGGTATTGGTATTTGGGATATACCGAATACCGTACCGAATTTGTCTATATTTGGTATTACCGAATACATGTATTCTTTTTTGGGATTGGGATTGGGATTGAATTTCAATTGTAATTCGGTATTAGGGATTACGGGATTGGGATCGGTATATACCGAAATACCGATCAATACCGAAATATAAGCTAGTGTGTATTTTATCCTCTCAACTAGACTCTCTCATTCAGTACTACACGACCCTCAACCACCAAGAGTGTCATTTAATTATACATAGATCATTTCATCTTTGTTTCACAATTCAAAAGTCCCCATCCAACTCAATTTTGACTTTCCAATTTAAGTCACTCTCATCTCTCACCTAATAACTTGTTATTTTCATAACACCAAAAAGCAAACACTAGTATTAGTAGTCTCTCAGCCTTCAATTCGTCAAATTAAAGATTACCAATAACAAGAACTTGAGATGTCACCTCTCCTTCATTCTCCTTATCCATATCCTAGCTCTAGGCAAACTACTCTTTCTTAGTCCTTTGCCCTAAATTAAACAATCAAATCTAATTTATATATTTAATTATTTATTTCAAATGTAATTTATTTCGTATTCGATAATACCGATTGAGATACCGAAGTACTGATTGGGATATCGGAATATTTAGGGATTGGGATTGGGATACCGAAATTATTTAGGGATTGAGATTGAGATTGATTTTCGGGTATAATTTGGTATTCGGGATTTCGATATTTGGTATTGAGATACCGATACCGTACCGATTTCCACCTCTACAAGTAATAGGGTTCCTGGTTATAAAAAATTACAACTTATTACATGAATATTATGAACAATTATAAAAATGTGGAACATTAGCACAATAAATTTTATATTTTGATACCTTAAACTTTTGGTATTCATTTTAATGTCGAAAATAAGCATTTAAAGTAAGTTCAAATTGATGAGTACCCAAATCCAACCTATATCCAATTTCACTTTGCAAACAAAATCCAAATCCAACTCTATCTACCCAACTATTACTTAAATCTATATAAAATAAATTCATACCCTACCTATAGTAAATGCGTACATTTTGATTAAAAAAAAAATGAGTAAGTAATTGTCATCTCTACTTCCTTCGGCCAGGCGGGATGAAAGCAACAAACTTATAGGCTATAGCTACACTATTTCTTGGCAAGTTCCTAGAAACAATTCTACTCTATGGTATCAACTTCTCTGTCTGTCAATCTTAGAATCAACATTAAGGTGTGCAACAGGTTGGCCCAGTTCGGATCGAACCAAACTCATGAGAATTGCGATCCATTGATGAAGATATCTTAAAACTAAGTATCGAATCAACATAGCATTTGGTCCATTTGGCTCGGTTATCCAAATATCAGTTCGATCCATCGTAGTAATTATAAAATTCATGTGGACCAAAAACTGGACAATATTATGTTAGGTATGGTTCGGTCCAAATTTCAATTTGATCTGATACAGACCGGACCATTGCACACTCCTAATCAACAGCGCCTTAATCCCACTAAAATTAACGTTGCCCACTAACCCGATTTTAGTTCTATTCACAGTAACTGACATCTCTATTCAACCTTATTTCGTCCCTATACATTAGCTCCCAACCTATAAGAATTGCAACCCTTAAGATTTCTATGAATCAAACCACCCCTTCGAGAAACGTACCCTCTTGTGGTGCCCCGTCAACAGGCTCATCTTCCAACAGCCGGAGCCTTTTCGAAGGATTCTCCTGTGCTAATCCCGAGTCTGCTTCGGCTCCCTCGATATCTGTCACATTCCTTTTCAAGTTTGATGCTGAATCCCCTTCTGCAGCTTTCTCATCCACTATTCCCGGCTCTTCTGCCTCAAATTGTGCAACCTCAGTTTCTGGCAAATCGCCATTTGAGGCCAATTCTACATTCCCTTTTTGAGCTCTCTCGTCCACCATTCCAGGCTCTTCCTCCACTGGCTTCATTTCTGGAATGTCGATTTCGGGCAGATCCCTATTCGAGGCTGATTCTAAACATGCATCATTGCCGTTGAGTGCTGAGGTCACACCATCGCCGATAGCCTCTTCCTTCTGATCCAACAACTCTCTGCTTGTGGCATTATGCTCGTGTTGCAGTTGTGTTGTCATACTTATGCTCCTATTATCTCCATGATTCTTCTTGGAATCGCAAGCCATATTGGTTGTTGTACAGTCTGCACCTTCCGTGGCGCAAGTTTCCAACATGATGTCAGGAGACATTGAAGCATGGCTATCTGTCAGACACTCGTTGTTATAATCATCCAACAAACAAGCAGAAGATGTTTGCGTGTTGATGTTCTCCTCCTTACATGCATCATAGCCATTGGTGGTCAAGGCAAAATTTTCAGTGATCCCAATATCTGATTCTGAAGTAGAATCATCAGATTCACAGTCTGAACTTGAGGTTTCAGATGATGAATCTTCTGCATCTTCCCTCATGGAAAATTTAGGTTTCCAGGAGGAAGCACCAGCAGTTAATCCTTGGAATGAGAAAGAGTTGGAGAAAACAGCTTCTTCACTGGATGGGAACTCCATAAACTCACCATCTAGATCAGCCTGCTAATAGACCAAACCATTAATTAAGCGATCGATATTGGCAAGTCAATACTCAGTTACGACATATAATACACTATGGTAAAAAGAGAAGTCAAGAGCAGCTCTTTTATAATTCTATGAATCTCCTTTACTTGGCCCGGAAAAAGAATAAAACAAAGACCATCACATGAGCTGAAAACGATATGAGAAGCAACTTTCCAATGCATTCAAGTGAAATAACAGTTTCATGCATGATTACCCACCACATATAAATCACCTTACAGTAACGGATGTAAATGGGAATACCTCCATAGGTGCCACATCACCATTGAGATGATAATAAGATGACGATGGTTCAAAGGATGAACACTTAGCATGCAATGATCCTGCTGAAACTCCCGGATGAAAAAGATCCCTCAGCACCAAATTTGGCTCACCAACAATACGTTCAGAGTTTCTCATAGAAGATGATGTTTCTAACATGGTCATCTCAATCCCCTGGCTGCCTTCTGTAGGAGTGAATTTCCTTGCCACAAACTCAACTCCTGATTCTTTCCCGCCATCTGGAAAATCAGATTGTGCTTTACCAGCAACATCACCAGAAGAAATACCTTCCTTGTCACGATTTTCCAATAGTTCCGCAACCAGTTTCTGAATTAAAGAGCGTTTGAGTGACGCCTCAGCAGGGTGAAACCAATCTCCACTCAGCTGTTGCACATCAATAGAAGAGGAAAAGAAGTTGCACATCATTGACTGGCCATCAGAAAGATATTGCCTTAAGTAGAAATCAGAGTATCTTACAGGCAAACAAGGTAGATCAATGTTCTTTTCAAAGACAACGGAAAAGAGAGATCAGTGTCATTCCTTCCTTTACATGTACAATTGAAATATAGACAAAGCTATGTGCCAGCTTTCTCAAAAGCGACACTGTCAAGTTGCCAACACCATGATTCGCCTTTATCATCATAAATAAATGGAAAAGCAGACCTAGTTACTGTCTTACTGATCGCAGACCCCCAATCTAATTGAGACGCGTAGATCTATTTAGGAGGAGGCTCAACCATATGGAAACAACATCTATAACTTTAAGCCATACAGAAAATAAATTCACTTACAAATTTGGAGAACTTGTTTATGTTAAAGAGGTTGAATTCCACAGGGGCTTCCGATAGAAACAGCTCCAAGTAGTGAAGCAGGAAAAGTCCACAATCAAATGAATTTTCCTGCTGAGGCAGCTGCAAGAAGGCACACTTAATATGAGAAACAATAATGTACTGTCTGCTCAAATTTTCTGTTCAAATATGATTGGCCCTTTCACCACAGTGGCATGGAGAGCAGAAAGAAAAGATAGTATCCACATCACTCTGTAAAGCTAAACACAGTATCGAAGAACACCCGAGTTAGAAAGTTCCTTTTCTTTTCTAATGAAAACATCCTCATGGTCATTGTCCTTAAAAACAACAAGGGTGACTTTGGGGTCCACTAGTGTACACAGGAAATGCTTCAGAATGTTCATATAATGACTGCATTTCTCATGAGTTATGCTGAACTTGAAAAAGGAGTTGGCAGGAGAGTACATTATTGAATTCAACATCTTAGGAGAATGCATAAGCATACAGTTATCTGTGGAATTCAACAGAAGTGACTTTTTGGTACCTACAGCTAAGAGCAGGCAGTACCTCAAGAGGGACAAACCGCAAATTCATAAACTTGGAAAATAAATCTTCTGATGCCTCTTTCTGTCTCTGTTTAAACTCTTCCCACAAATAACTGTAATTTAGGGGAAAAAAATTTGATGCATCCATCAATGAACGATAAGCTTCAAATCAAAAGCAACAAAAAAGCCTTAAGAATCTATGATACCTTTGAACAAGATTTTTTAGACCCGCATGAGTCCCTTTGATGGAATCCATATGCAAAATACAAGGTAGTCTGAGGGACTTCTCAGGGTCTTCCTCTGAAATGTAAGACAGAAAGGATTAAGAATCTGGTTCAAGTGCATGTAGATCTCAGAAATTTCAAGAACAACTAACCTTTGAAGCTTGCCACTTCACCAGGATGGCATATTACTAGCAAACTCCAGTGAAGACTAGCCATTTAATGAAAAGAAAAAATGCATCAGCACGGTCAAACAAAGTCATCTTAGAGTTCTTTTCCCCTCGGTGGATTAAACAAAACGTTTCTGACTGTTCTTACCCAAAATTGACAGGAATGAAAACATAGTCTTTGCCAAATAGATCCACCTTCCTTGTCCACTTATGAACACGTAAGAAGGCAGCTCGACCATCGAGAGCACTAGAGGGATCTTTGTCCAGATCAGCAAGCTTCCGAAAGAAAAAACTATTGAAAAAATGGAATTTGTGCTTCTCTTCAGAAGGAATTTGGTTCTTCAGGTACCTATAAATCAGTAATACAAATAAGAACTTGATAACTTGTTGAGTTTAGAGAGAAGACATAACTAAAGCAATACTCTCTCCAAAGGAATTAAAGCAGAACATAGACAATATAACCTAGGCATTAGAGTTCAGCTGTTGGAGAATGAAAAGCAAACGTTTGAACAAAGAAGATCCATCAGTTCTGTGTTAATATTAAGCCATAAGAAGTTAAATTTGCATTGGAAGGAACTCACTGGATGTAAAAGTCAATAATTGTATCATTAATGAAAGTTTCTGGCTCCAGAAGATCAACATCTCTCTTGCTGATAGAAACTGCATCACAATCCCCTTCTGGATAGATAACATCTTCAAAAACCCTCTCAAAACTGCACAATTTCCAGCTTTCAATAAGGAAGAAAGACTAAAAACTGTGAACTAATAGATTCCGCTATAACAGCCAGCATAGCTCACTAGAGTAGAGAAACGAAACCCAGCAAACGCTTCAACGGAGAAGTGTGCTCCGTATATTTCATCCCAAAATTGAAACCAATAAATACCAAAATTGAAACCAATAAAACCACTCTCTACATGAAGTCAACTTGTACAGCAAATTAAAGATGAGCAGTAATGCTAACAAAGATGGAGGAAATGCATGAAAGTTTAATGAGGTTACGGTCACCAACTCCAACGGATAGTGACAGTTGAGCCAATAGTGAATATAAGCAATATCTACTACTTACTTTGGGAAATGCGGCTTTCTTGGAAGTGGGTCAACTCTTCCATCTTCATTACTACAAGGAAGGAATCAAAAGGTGGGGGAAATTATGAAGAGCCAAAAAGAAAGGACATAGGGAGAACTGCACACCCACGTAAAGGCGACAACATCAAATCGAGAGAAGGAAACAGCAGCTAGCCAGCTAACATCCTTCCAGTTTATATACTATTTATTATGTTCCAGCATCAAGCAGAGTTAAGTAAAGTAATCAGTTTAACACTTTTAACTGTATATCCAAGGCTTTGAAAGAAACTCAAAAGAGATATTCATTTCCCATGAAGATGTTAATGAGTAGAAGGGCTTTCTTCCAGAACGTCACAGTTGCAACAGGCTGAATATAACATGTACAGAATCAGTATAATGTGCTGCTGGGAGCAACTATCCAGGCCAATTGTATGAACGATCATTACTGTATAGAATAAAAAGAACTTACTCGTGAACAGCTCTCCAAAGACTCATGTATTTCACATTCAAAGATGTGATCTGTTGCCACCTTCCTGACCAATCTGGGTCACTAACTACAAACTCCAACTCCTCTACACCTAGGGAAAGCAAAATCAGAATCGTTATTGTAAAACATTTAGCATTTCAAAGCATTAATTGAATAGAAATGACAACTGGAAACTAAACACAACATTCCACATATCTCCAAAAATCAACTTGTATTGTCTTTGAGTATTAGATATTTGTTCATAAATTGTGGAAAAGCCATTGCTATATATTTCTTCATCATCTATCCATTGCACTCATAACAACATCACAGAAGGCATGAAGGATGAAAACTGTGTTAAAAACATGCTATGCAGAAACTTCCAGCTGTAGTCTGAAATTAAGTAGCCCCCTCTCAGGTTGGCTTCCTACCCCACAGCCCAGATTAACCACTTAACAAAGTGCCAAACGGTTTGTTACTTCCTGTGCAAGTGGGATAGGCAAAGTACTTGCTCCATTTGGTTCAAGTCAAACTTATCAGTAAAAGTAATATACTTCCAAGTTAAAAGGATGGAATACATGTGTAAAGTTATCCAATTCCTGAGTTGACACAACCGTTGTTTATCATAAATCCAGCATGCTACACAGGAAGTCCTCTTTTGCTTAATTACTAAAAGATGGGCACGAGAATGCTGTGGTAAACCCTGACAGATAAATAGAGCACTAAACATTCCAGTTCTTGAAGTAAGAGAACCACCACTCTCAGGTAAAGTACCCAAACTTACATGTGTTAAGAGCACAAAATATAGCAATAATCAACAATGCAAAAACTAAAAAGTAAGACCAAACCTGAGGTTCCATGAACTTGTCCTGCATCCTTTGACAGTACATGGAGCTTAACAGAGACACTTTCAAACTGGAGAACATGTAGACAATGCAATGTAAAGTTCGGAAAACCAACTTCCTCAAAATATTAGAGGTTATCACCAAGTGCAATTGTACAAACCCTTTGGAGCTGTTCACATTGGATATGGACGATGTCATCAATACCCTTTTCAAGGCTATGGATTTCTTGGTCTTGTTCAGGTGTAGTTAGACCGCTGATTTTGATGTTGTCATGAGAGAAGAACACTGAGCATCCTGGTAAGAAGTTCTTTTGATAGACGACATAGTCAACTGGAATACATATTTCTGCTTCAGCCTGCAAATCGGTAAATAAGAAATGGTTAGTCCCTAGATCATAAAAGAATTTACAAGATTAGATACAAGTAGCCAACAGAACATCAGATTCTTACAAGATGTTGAATGGTTCGACTAAGAAACTATAGGACAATTTTTAATTTATTTTATTTTTTCCAATTTTAACCAATGAGAACTGACAATAGACAACAGCAGGTAGCAACACGCTAAATGAATCTAGGAATAGAGTATTGCGATATCAGGATGGCATCTAACAATGCCATGTAGAAACCCAAACAAAAGCGAAGTCAATTAACCAGACCCATCAACAAGGACATAAGTCCTATAACAATGAACTAAAGAGTGCTCCAAACAGACAGTTAAGAACTTAAGATGCAGCATCAAATCATACAGCAAACTACAGATAAAAATTCCAAAGGTATCCAGCCAAATTGCAGCAGCAGATTAACTTAAGAATGCATAAAAGTGAAATGACATACCGTTTGCAGGCTGTCAAAACAATTTGTCGAAGGAACGCCATTTAAAAAAGCTGAAATTCAGCAGCGGTAATCATCATAAGGTACCAATTTTTAGAGTTCGGATTGGTAAAGTTATGCAGTAAATTTATCAAACAGAAGTACCACAATCTCTAGCAATCGCAGGAGACAGTCTTGATGGATCACTTTCAGCAAAGTTGTCGTCAGCAACAGGGACAATACTCTTAGACTCACTCTGTGTCGACAAGGTAAACATGCTCTTCAGCTAAAAGTGTAAGCTATAAGATGAATAAGATGTAAAGCAAGCACATATTGGACAGAGAAGCTCGAAAGAAACATTGGATTGGACTTTCCCAGGTGAAGATACCTTAAGGAATGTAATTCTCTCCTCCTGCTCAATAGAAGAATTTGCAGTTTGACAGCAATCAATCTCTGAATGGAAGTCATGATGAATAATTAGGGAACTTAGAGAAGCAGCATCTTGGCAAGGCTTCCTTTCTTTGGCAGCTACATCCTTCTCAACCATCTGAGAAGCTGCTGTAATGTGGTTGCCAACCTGCTGATCATGTTCAGGGGCATCTACATCTACAAAGGCTAATCTATCAACCTTTTCACTTGGACCGTCAGATGTACGAGCAACTGTTGACAACAAATAAAACAACGACTACAAGTCATGACTGCGCCATTACAACTCTACCAACAGTGATATTCAGAGAGACAACAAAATCTGAAGACTACAAGCAGCAAATGTTACATGAAGAACCCCATGACAAGAATAGTTAGTTTACTTACTAGCTAGGAATATCTATGATGTAGAGGTGCATGCAATGCTCTGGAGTTGCCAAATTAAATAGTACGTCCTAATCCATAAGAGTAATATGAACTCAAAACGCTTGGTCAACAACCATTTTCATAATAAAAGGAAGATCCCCTGACCTAAAGTACTACAAGGTTGTATGTCACATGGCTTTTAGATTGTAAGAACATATAGATTGTAAGAATACATGAATGTGCAAATTTTGTATACACGAGAACGGATGGATTTTGTAATCATTGCCAGATGAGGTACCAAGAAAGGTGGTTTAGAGCGGAGTGCATAAATGTGCAAAATACTGTTTCTTACTTTGGTTTAAAAAAGTCTAGAGGGGCAAAGACAGTCTTTTAACCAAAATAATAATGATACTGTATAAGTTCAAAAGATGCTTTCAGAATAATGGCCTCCAGCAAACACTCGGAGTTAAGTATATATTCACAATATGGCATGCTTCAAATCCTAGAAATGAAAATTGAAGAATTGTGGTATGCTTCAAATCTCACCACCTGGTTCATATCCGAAAAACTTCAATCTCATTCGAAGGGCAAAAGCTTGCCCCAGTAACTCCCATAAGAATTCCAACCAGAAGCTCCATTAAATATTCGATGAATCAATGACTAAAAAATTTTAAGACCATTTTCATTGCTTTCCTACCAAATAAGTTGCCCCAATTGCATGACTGAATGCAACAAAAACCACCACCATACTAGTCCTTCAAAGGAGAACACCAATTTTCTAGTCTTAAAGAGTATACTATTTGAACGTTGATGACTTAATAAACCACTCCTTACCATACAAATCATACACACATAGACAACCTGTAGCAGAACCTTCATGGAAGATCTGAAATTCAAATTCTTGACCATTTACTGATCAAGTCATAACCCCTTCAAACCTGATGCGGCAGCCATGAAACCTTAACTAGGACTAGGAGGGCTCCACGGAGATGGCTTGCAACCTAAAATAAAGCGCTAAAACTTCCCTCGTCCCCTTCGCTATACCCTGGCTAAAATGAGAATTGAGAACTACCCCCGAAGGGACGAAAGAAATTGTCGCAACTAGTACATGGAACTAATTCATTCTGCTAGCGAACTAAAAGCTACACCAGAGAGGCAGACAGAAGCTGCAATGGCATAGTACTTTCAAAAGGAAACTTAGAATCTTCAACATTACAGCTGTGCAAAACAATATGCAGCTCCATATCAGATAACTCAAGTCTCCAGTTAGCTGTTTCCCCATAAAATGAACGCAGAGAAAATGAAATCTGAAAGAGAAATGAAATCCAGCATCAAAATCAGGTGAAAGTTCCAGAGAACGAACCGCATTTGGCGAATTGGCAGGTTGAATTGTCGGGTGGGTTAGGGTTTTTGAACTTGCTCAGGAATTTGGCATCCGCGCGCTCCGTCAGTTCGTCTTCTTCGCCAAACTCGAAAACTTCGAAGCCACTCTTCATGATCGGACAGAGACTGAGTTGAGGCCAGCAGAACCCGAGTCAACTCGGAAGCTACTAAAGATCTGGCCCCGTCTCCTGGGAGTGTTTCGTGCGAGGGGAAAGGGAGAAAGGGCGACGTGGAATCAGAGGGAAAATGCCAAAATTGAGAGAAGTTCCGACTGTACGGAAGTAATTTTTTATTTGGCAAAATTCAATAGCCAAATTTTTACGCTTGTGACAATAATAGACATTTTTTATTAAATAATAATAATAATAATAAATAGAATTTTGAAAGTTTGATTATTTGTATACCAATTATCGTTACATAATTAGAGGGCGTCGGTAACACCGTTAGTCAAATTAACAGAATGCTTACATGGCTGCCAACTCACCAGACACATTATCGACAACTCAACAACACTTACCGCATGAATGTCATGTAATATTTTAATTTAAAAATAAATAAAAAATCATAAATTATGTTCTTATCCTCTCTCCTCTCCTATCACTCACTTCTCGTGCGATGACGCCAGCAGCAACGATGGTGACAATCTGGCCAACGATGGCAGATTTATGACCCTTACTCCTTGCCCCCTAATCTGGCCGGCGATGGCAGATCAACGAACCCTGCTCCTCCTCTCCTCGAAACATTCACCGTCTACCCAAAACCCCATCTAATCATTCTGTCTTCTTTTAATTCCATCCCTCTCCAACTCCCTCAAGTCGCCGGCCTCTCGAATCCACCATCTCCATCCCAGCCTAGTCCCCTACCTCAAATTCGCATGAGACGGGCGTGACCCTGTCGTAACCTTATTCCTCGAGACCCTGTCGAATCCGTCGTTGCACCTCTTTGCACCAACGCTCTCCTCCACCATACTGGATGAATCGCAACTCAGGGAGACGATTTGAACAAGCGATCATTCTGCTTCCAAAGATCGTAGCTTTCCTACGGAAAATGGAGGTTTCAAGGCAAAAACCCTCTATCCAGAAGTAATTCTCTCCAACCCAGAAAGACCCATTGGGCAACTTTTCCTCTTCTGCTCCCTCTGCCTCGTCTTTTTACCCAGATGGTCGACATGTTCGATCTCGCCCTAAATCTCTTCCCAGATAACGATGTTGGCAGAGCCGGCTCCACACGAGGAGCTTTTGATAAGAATCTTGGGCGCCATAACCCAATTGATCAAGAAAGACGAGGCTTAGGGTTCCTTTCGGGAGTCGAGACTTCAGCGACGAAGTGGAGGAATCAAAGGAATGAAGATTATAAAGTGAGTGCATTGAATGCACATAATAAAGTGAGTGCACCGAATATAAAACCATAATTTTTATACTTTTATCATTTTTATATTTTATAATATTAATTTGTATAATTTTATGATTTAGTTTGTATACTTATATCATATTGTTTGCATACTTCATTATTGTTTTATTGGTTTATCTAAAGAAAAAAAATAAGAGAGATGTCGCACCTATTATGCACTAAAAAATAGTTGTACTTCATACCCAAATGCTAAGTAAACTCTTGAGATTTGAAAACCTTCCTCCTTTTCTCTTGTGCAACTCGAGTTCAAAAGTAGAAAATCTTCCTTCTTTTTTATGTGGTATCTGTTTGGTATTTGAGAAACCTTGAACAATGAATTCTTCTACCCCTAAAAACCTTTTTCACGTGTCCTAGACCCTAAACACGTTACAACCCTATTGTAAAAGACCTCCGGATAAGTTAACGGTGACCCACTTTGTGGAGACTCGATTGAATTGCAAATGCTTAGGAGTTAGATTCGTGGTAGAAAGATGATTAGGTTGAGTGTTAACGACATCCACATCTTTTTCTTATGAAATGATTGTCTTTGGAGCTCCTTTACGGTTAATTGGTTTTTCCTATTCAGGATCGGGTTCGAATACTTTTCACAGGTAGGCTGTGGTCGTCGCCCATACTGTGGGCGACTCCCTGCCTTCGCCCATGCCGTGAGCTACTCCCTGCCTTCACTACATAAGTTGATTTTAGCCTCTTTTTATGGGGGGTTCGGATAGACTTAACCTATAACATCAAATACGAGTTAGAGGATAGAAAAGAGGAATTTTCAGCAGCTCTACCCCAAAGAGTCATCTTGGAGAAATAGATCAAGACTTCCACCATGAAGATCAGTTTTTCCTCTTTTCCTCTATTTGTTTCCTCATCCTTCATGAACAAATCCTTCCTTGTTGTTTGTATTAGATAAACCATAGCTATGGTGCTCTTAATTGATTGAATGTTTATGGAATTTGATGTTTATTAACCTTTGATTCATATTTGATTTATTATTAGAGTGTCTAATAGTTTTACGCCTGTTGCATGTTTGTTTGGTTCGTGTGTATGACGAGAAAGGTATCCCCATATGCATGATGGAACCCTTAAAGATGAAAGATAATTAAAAATGCCAGGATTTGGAGGACAAAGGACCTCAATATTAGTGTAAAACTTAATAGGTGAATTCAAAAAACGACTTAAAGGTTCAATTGATCAGTTCTATGTCAAAGGGGATATCATAATCAGAGTTAATTGTTTGATACGGTGTTAATACGCGAGGGAATCGGGTTAGCACCAGTTTGAGAATTCCTACAATTAAGGAAAGATGACATTGACTCAATATGATATTTGATTGATGATTTATGTTAGGTAGGAAATTCAAAACATGAGCAAACATCTTCTCTACTTGAATTTGCCTTAGTGTTATGCATTTAGTCATTGCTAAATTTTCACTGCTTTGTTAGTTAGTTTAATTAATTAAAAGAATTTCTAAATGATTGGTCAAATAGTATGTAATGACTGGTAGTTCATAGTCTCTATGGGATATGATCTTACTTGTCACTGTATTTCTTCTACTGCAGTTACACTTGCCTAAGTATTGGCACTAGAAAAGGCCATCGGCGGGGTAGGTCAGAAGCAATACCCAAGCTCCGTCCCATGCTACTTGCTGGTAGAGTATTACCCGCCCAAATAGGCCGAGTCTAGTCGGGTCGCGTGGGTCAGGTCAGAAATTGCCATCACTAGCTATACCTTACAAGTATTTCCTTTGGCTGACTTTTTGTGTTGAGGAGGTCAACCACAATTAATGTTGGTTGTTAATGGAAATTTTAAAAATTATAGAGGGGATACTGATTCGGGCCTAATTGTACACTTTTATCCCCGTTTCTCTTTGACGTTTGTTGCAATTGAGCTCCAAAAAGGGGGGTGGTTTTACACTAGGTTTCTTGTGTTTTAGCGTGTTTCAGGATCCAACAGGTGAAACCAACCCCGGAGTCGAAAGTTGGAAGAAAATGAGCAAAAAGGAGGAAATAACTTGTGTTCAAAGTCTGCCATTGGAGTTCAAGGTCTTACAGGATCGTGAACTGGAGCCAAAATCCGTGAACCGCGAAGCGTCCGGGAGAATCCGAAGGTTACTGACGCCGAGTGAGTTCACGGTTGCTAAGACTGTGAACTCTAAGCACAAATCATGAACTGTGGATGTGAAGCGGAGCGTTTTGGTCTCAACATTGAGTTCACAGACGCGTTTCAATGTTCACGGCCGTGAACTGAGGTCTAAGACCATGAACTACTCAACATGTCCTTGAACTAAGCCCGTGAACTGCTCAACGCTTCCTTGAACTAATCCGTAAACTGCTCAACGCGTCCTTGAACTAAGACCGTGAACTGATCAACGCGTCCTTGAACTTAGCTCTAAGACCTTGAACTGAGCCTGATTTGGGTATAAAAGGAGAGGGGAGCTGAAGGAGAAGGGGGAGCTGGTTTTTGGAGAAGAATTGGTTTCTCTCTCTAGGGTTTTCCCAAAAACACCAAAGGGGAGTTCTAGTGAGAGAGAGAGAGAGAGAGAGAGAGTGCTAGAGTGATCTTGGAGCATCATTGGAGGCTTGGGTGGAGATTCAAGCCTAGAAGAAGAAGATCTTCAGCTCAAATTTGTAACCCCTCTCTCTCTCTCTCTCTCTCTCTCTCTAGAAACTCACTCTTTTCTCTTGGGTGTTGTAGATCCCTAACTAATACTTTGTAATTACTTGTTTAGATTGAATGATTGTCATTGGGTATTGTTTAATTTAATGATTGAGGTATTATTCATGTTGATTGTGCATGCTTGTGCTTAGCAATCTAAGGGTTATGCATGTTTTGTGCTTAGCATCCTTAGGTTTGTGCATTTTGGTGCTTAGCAACCTAAGGATTGTGCATAATTGTGCTTAGCACCCTTAGGTTTGTGCATGTTGGTGCTAGCAATCTAACTAGCCACCTTAACCTTGCTTGGAGAGGAAAATCCCCCTTCCAAGGGAGACTCAATCGAGTTGGTTTTCCTTCAGCTTTTTAAGCCACCTAACTAGGTTAATTTAGGGCAACCCTCATTGTTGAATTAAGCAAATCGGTCAATCGTGATTAAGCCGCCTGACCTTTGAGTTGAGTGAGGGAGTAAGTCAACTACCTATTGCCTAAACTAAGAGGGTCGAGTGACACGACCTATATTGTTCACCTCGGTTTAGCAATTGAGATTGTGGTCTCCGACCATAAATGCATTACTCTGTGGTTCGCGGTTACCTTGCCCATAACAATCCTTCCAATCTACCGAGTCTTGGTAGCTAGTTAGGGGGAAGCAACTCCTGGGTGAAGCTTCCTTAGTAAGACTTTTCCTTTATTTACTTTTCCTTGATAGTTTAGTTTGTAGTTCCATTAATTATAAACCCAAAAGTTTCTTGCTAGATAACAACCTAAGCGATTAGGATACATTTGAGTGATCGGATAGCTTTGCTCTTACTCCTCTCAAATTCTCTATCCTTCTCCTTCCATTTGAGATCTGAGCGTTTCTCTTTACGCTTTGCTTGGCGCTTTGTGACCTGCTACCTGCTCGCTATCCTTTCTCCGGCCCATTCCTCTCTTCTGCGACCGTTTTGCAGGCTGGTGCTCCCAATCCTACCGACCAGGTTCTGATGTCCAGGCACCTCCTTGAGGCCTCTCTTATGGTTGCATGTGGGCGTCCTGACCTTAAACCTCCAGTCGAGAAATCGGA